TGCTGTTAATAATACTACGCTGACTTTTTGTTATCATTTGCTCAGTATAACATACTCCCTGCCTGCATTTCCAAATTTTACAAACTTTCTGGTCTCTGAAAAGTCCTAAGAAATTGTCATTTGTTAATAGCAATCCTCATTTTCCAACATGGTTAAAAGTTTTTTCAAGGTTGGAGAATTGTTTGTGTTTTTTGTATTTGTTCAAAACTTACTCATATCAATTGGACTTGGGACCAACTGTCTACTGTTGTGATCCAGTATCTTCTTGTTTCCGTTTGTTATAAAAATGGTTATATTAATCATAGCCTAAAATTGTTACATTTAGTCTAATAGTTCAGTGTATAAACCAAAGGAAGGTGCAATGTCACATATAAGAAAGAACCAAAGCCCCCTTTTTAAATTTTGCTGTTTGAAGTTTCTTTATTCTGTTGTCACTTTTCTAATGTACATCAGAGGGAGAAGTGAGAAAATGGAGAAAACTGGGTATTAGACACATAAATTAGTTCATATGCAGTGTAGACAAGGAAAGATTTCTGCCATATAATTTCTCCACCACGAGGCATATTGCTTACAGCACTGACTTCGTCCTAGCTGCTAACAACTAGTTTAGGGTCTAGATGCTGGACATAATTCAAGGGATGTAATTATTGCATCTGATTCAAATATCAAATGTTACCAAAGGACATATGAGGCAAACATTGCTACCACTTTTTTGTATATCTTTTCTCACAGGTTATTTTTGGAGCTGTAAGGAAAACTGTAGCTTGGTTTTTAAATCTCTAGAAAATAGCCAATGAGAAATATTTATTAAAATCCTATGCAGAGTACTCTTATAACTTATTAATAAGGTGACAACCCAATTTAAAAAGGACAAAAGAGTTGAATAGACATTTCACCAAAAAAGACACAGGAATGGCTAATAAGCACATCACTAGTCATTAGGGAAATATAAATCAAAACCACAATGAGATACCACTTTACACCCATTAGGATGGCTAGAATCATAAAGATAGTAACAAGCATTGGCAAGGATGTAGGTAAATACACTGCTGGTGGGACTATATAATGGTACAGCCACTTGGAAAACAGTTTGTCGGTTCCTCAAAATATTAAAAATAGAGTTAACAGTGTGACCCAGCAATTCCACTTGTAGGTGTCCAAGAGAAATGAAAACCTATGTCTACACAAAGACTTTAACTTGAATGTTCATGGCAGCATTATTCACAGTAACCCAAAAGTAGAAACAATGCCAATATGTATCAACTGGTGAATGAATAAACAAATGAGGTATCTCCCACAATGGAATACTGTTTGGCAATAAAAAGAAACAAGTTGATGACACATACTATAACATGGATTAACCTCAAAAACATTATGCTAAGTAAAAGAAGCCAGACACGTAAGTGCATATACTCCATTTTTAAGAAAATGTACAGATAAGGCAAATTCATAAAGACAGAAATTAGAAAAGTAGTTGCCTGGGGCTGTGGGTGGTGATGAGGAGTAACTGTAAATGAGCACAAGGGATCTTATTAGAAATGACAAAAATGTTCTAACACTGGATTATGGTGACACTCAATAAATTTACTAAAAATCGTTAAAATCAGTGAATTTTGTGCTTTGTAAATACCTCAACAAAAAGCATTTTTTTCAGTCCTGGGCTAGAAAACTTCGGGTAAGTTATCCAGCATCAATAGAAATGAGGACGCTGGGATTATTCCTTCTTACGCGTCAGAAATAGCCTCCTTGCTCCATGTGAGCAGTAGGCCTGGACAGTGATCAGAGAGCAGGTGGGCCTGGAGCCTAGGATCAATGATAAAGGGAAGTAAGTAAGAAAAGGAGCAAGTGTGAAACAGTAGCTTAGGCTCTGGAGTCAGACCACCTGGGTTGGGAATCCAGCTCTGGCTCTGTCATTTACTAGGTATGTGACCTAAGGCCAGATGCGAATCTTCCTTGTGCCTCAGTTGCTTCATCTGTAAAATGGGGATAATAGGTACTCTGAGTACTTACCTCAGAGAGTTGGTATAAAGGGTAAGTAAATTAATAGATGACAAGTGATTAATGCATAATAAACAGTAGATTTTTTAAGCTTTATCGTAGTCCTCCTCCTCACCATCATCACACGGGCCTGGCGGTCCTGTATGCCTACTGTGTTTCTCTGGATCCCCCATTCTCCCTCTGCTGGAAGTAATTATTTCAGCCTTATCTCGCCCCTTCTAAACGTCCCACCTCCTCCTTCACCAGGACAACAGCAGCTGTCACAGGAACTACCTCTCCTTCCTACCAGGAAACATTCTGCCTTCCTGCCTGCTCTTTGGGTTTTCAACTCCTGCCTTCTCAGGAACTTTTTGCTCTTATCTCTTTTCTCTCACGTATTTATCTTCTTCCTCTTCTATGGCACCTTTCCATTGGCATTTAAACAGGCTCAAATCTTATCTTTCCAATATAAAATGAACCTCCCTCAATCCCACCTTTCCCTGCAGCCGCCTTTCTTCATGTGTTTTCCCTCATTTCTTTTCCCAGCCCCCACTCCAAAGGTCTCTCCACTCCGAAGTCTACATTCCTTCCCACCGTTCACTCTTAACACAGCCAGTGTAATTTCTGCTCCCATAGTTTCACTGAAATGGATCATCAGTGACCTCCAGATTATTAATTAAATTGACATTTTCAATCTTCATCTTGACATTGTCCACATTCTTGAATATTTTCTGTTGCTTGAAATATTCTTCTCTTGGCCTCTATGACAGTACTGCTTGAGTTTCTTCCCACTTCTTTGGACTTCATAGACTCTTGTTCCTTAGTGTGGGCATTAATTATAGCCATTCCTTAAAGGCTTATTCCTCTTTTCCGTGTATTGTCTCTCCCTAAGACCATCGCTTTTGTGCTTAGGACTTCGGTTGCTATATACTATTGGCTCTGAAATGCATTTTTCTAGCCCTGATCACCAGGCTCCTAAATCTACATGCCTACTTCGCATCCCCACTTAGATGTCTCAAAGGCATTTTAAATCCAGCATATCCAAAACAGAGTTAATGATCTCTTCCAAGCCCTCCTTACCACCCCACCTTCTCCCAAAAAAGCCCTTATCCTCCTTTAATATTACCTGTCTCTGTGATCGACACCATTATTACTCAGTTGTGTGACATAAGGAACATAGGAGTAATTCTTGACACCAGATCTCTTCCTCCACTCACCATAATTAAACTGTCACCAAGCCCTTCAGATTTACCTCTGTGTTTCCACTACTTTTATCTCCATCATTGCTTTGCTAGTGCAGAGCACTATCAATCTCACCCCTACATTAATACTTTAGCCTCTAAACCGATCTGTTTCCTACCTACTTATACCATTTAAACTTTGACTTTAAAAAATCAATTTACATACAACTTTCCCATTAGTACATTATATTAGTTATATGGGGGAAAGAGTGCCACCTGAGAATCACACAAAAATGAAAATAAGTAAGATTTTTTTACCATCTTTTTGTTCTGCTCTCCGCACCGTGATTGTCTGATGTGCTAGAACAAACCATGCTCCCTCCCATCTCAGGTCCTTTGCAAATGATCTTCCGTTTACCTAACACTTCATCCTCTACTTTTACTTCGTTTCCTAAAACTGCTATTTATTTTTCAGACCTCAGGTCAAAACAGCACTTCCTAAGAGAGCTCTTCCCCAAACTCCCAGACCATATGACATCCTTGTGTCATATGTTCTTACAGCACCTGGTACCCTTCTTTCAGAGCACTCTTCAAAGTTTTAACTTGATTGTTATTTCTCTCATTATTTGATAGTATCTGTAAGCTCCAAGAGTGTATAGAACAATGTCTGGTTTTGCTAGCAGTGTATTCCTTAGCACCTAGTGCAAGCAACTAACGTGGCAGATGCTCGGTGATTAATTTTACATTGACGGCTTCAATTATGTTAGTGTCAAATCTTTGTGGTTTTAGTGATCGTTGATTGATTCTGTCTCTAGGTTGTATGTCTCTGCTTTTGTTGAATTTGTTGAATTTTATAGTGTAATTTTCAGATGCTACTATTTTTTCTTCTATTTCTGAATTATTGGGGCCACCTCACTTGTAGCCTTCATGGAACTATACTAGTTTATTGATGGAAATGTTGCATGTAAATTAATTTTAAGTAACATTTTAAATGGTCTAGGAAAGATTGATGTTTAAAGAAGTTCCAGTGGGAGCCATTTTGTAAGATAATTATCCACTATTATGTCAAATTTTTAAAGTATAGTTTTTATTTCAGAGTATTATTTTCCTAGAGCAGTCACATTTGTAATTGTTTCTATAAAAGATAGTGGAAAATTATTTTATTTCTTTGATTCTACAGTGCTATTTTTACAAAGTGACTGCTTTGTACTGGATATGATCTATCTTGAAATGACTGCTTTTTTTTTTACTGGATATAATCTGTCATTTCATTTCATGTAACAGATGGTGGTCACATTAAAAAGGTTTTTAGTTTTACTCATATCAAAATCTAAGAGCTTATCTATTGGTTTCATGTGACTTTTACTAGCAGAAGATATATATATATATTATATATATATGTTTTATATATATATATAGTCTGTGTATAAATATACTTACACAGGAGGTATAATATTTATAAGCTTAGGTAATAGTTTAACTGTTACATTTGCAGCTCCATTAACTGCCAGACTCGTGACCTTGCAGAAAAGACAGTTATTTGTTCTAGTTGGGTTATATTCCTGATAGTGATGTGAGCACAGCTGGTGGAGGATGGTGTTTCTGTGAGTCTCAGAAAATCCTTTGTCTTCTGCGGCTCTAATGCTCCAGGGACACACTTCACTTTCCTCTTACCGAAATAGTCGACTGCCGACCATGCTGGAGGTTATGAAGTCTGAAGTACAGTTCCATGCCTTTGTAAACCTGTGTAATTGATGCATTCAGAGCTTTAAAACAAGAAAGGCAAAAAGCTTTGAGCATGCACCATTTTTGTATGTAATGATGCTAACTCCGTGTTAACAGAGGTCATCTCAGAGCAAGCATGAAGCCGGCTCACATGAAGCCGAGCGGCAGAATGAAGGTCAAGGAGTGGCAGACATCAACATGGCAACTTCTGGTAGTAGTCAGGTAAGGTAATTCTTTTATTGTGTTTTTTTTAATTAACTATTTAAACATGTAAAAAGGAGTATGGAGCGAGATGGTCCTCAGAATGATCTGTAAATCTTACGCTTCCTTAGTCCTGAATGAATATCTGCAGAAGCATTTGGTACCAAAATGCTATCATTTGGCTTTATTACATCTAACAATAATGCTTTCAAAATTTCAGAGGATATTTTATAGCTCTAAATTGTGTGTTTCTGTTTTAGTCTGAAAGGATTAGTGTGAGTAGAATTTTTTTTGAAAAATAAACACTAAGCTGCAGTGTGCTTGTATGTGTGAGTTGACCTAGTTTTTACTGCTTGCCTCTTTTCTCTAAGGCATTCTTTGCAAAGACATTTTTATGTTTTTTAAAAAATGATCATAAGGACTTTGTTGTAGTTCTTGTTTTCTGTTGTAATTCAAGATTACGTAAGTCTACAAATCCAAACCTTATCTTTGAAAAAGGTGATTTTAATGCTCATGAAAAGTAGAGATGTAGATAGCTTCGTCATGTTTCACTATTATCACATCATTTTTAGAAAAATTACAGATATCAACTTGATTTTTTTTTTAAATGTAGACCTGTTGTCTTGTTATGCTGCCATCAATTTTCTGTTAGAGTTTTATTGGATTCATTGACAGAATTTTTCTTTGGGGTGTTCTGTATTCTCTACATTTTTTCAATGAATATTTTTTATGCTGTAAGTAAATGATTTTTAAGAATAGAATTTCAGTAAGTTAATTTTGAGGTATTTTTTCTACTATTGATATAAAATATTCCGTTAGTGTCTATAAATTACTTTTGTTATTAAAAAAGAGCATGCTCCTATTAGCTCATTAAAATTTAAAGCTTAAAATGTTTCATACTTAAGTATTTAAATTTATTTTAACTGAGTTAAAACAAAGAAATACTTCATTTTAGTATTACTGGTTAGCATTGTACTGGGGAAAACTCCTAAGTTATAGATGGTAAATTAGTGCAAAAGAAATTATATTTAAATAGCACAGTTATTTCTTTGTCCGTTCAGGGAATTATTTGGGACGTTCATGTGTTCCTACACATATATAGAAAGAAGAAAAGTTCCATCTTGACAGAAAATAATTCTTTGCTTAGGATTAGCCTTACCGTTAGTGCTTTAGGTCATATTCCAATTATTATGTACTTTAAAGTCTTACCCATCCAATAACATACCTATCTATTTAAAATATAGTGATTGAGTCTTTATCACAATTAATTCACCAGAATTAATTCTAAGTAGATTGGATTTAATGTCAAAAATGAAAACTATTAAAAATATAAAGAGATTAGAAGAAAATGTGGGTAGGATTTTTATAATCATGAGGTAGGTAGGAAACCATAAAAGGAAAAGATCAATAGGTTTCACATAAAAATGTAAAACTCCAGTATGCCATAAAATCATAGCAAGGTTATACAACAAAAACCAAGATCACACATTATTTGTAAATATTTATGACAAGGAAAAAATTAAATTTGAAAATACGTAAAGAGAATTTACAAATTAACTATTTAAAGACTGTTAGAACACAGACAAAATACATGAAAAAGAATTAGAAGGAAATAAAAATGACTTGTAAACATATGGAAAGATGTTTGATTTTATTAGTAATGATGTATAAAAATAAACTACAATCGAAATGAGGTTTTTAGGAGTCCATTGGGTTGGCCAAGGTCAATAACGTTCAGTAATGGTTAACAGGAATTCTCATATACTGCTTTTATTTGTGCAGAATGGAACAACCTACCTGAAGAGCAACTTAGTAATAATATGTATCTAAATTATAATGTTCCTGCTCTGTGGCTCATCATTGCAGCATCTAAGATTTTATGCTAATGAGATAATCAGTCGAGAAAGAGTGTTCAGACGTGTTTAAAGAGATTTCATCATAATATTATTTATAATAGCAAAAATAGAAATAACTTGAATGTACACTAATCAATAAGTAATTGGTTAAATTATTAGTCAGTCAACTGTGGAGAAGTGGTTAAGTGGCTCTGGAGTCAGCAGACCTGAGATTAAATCCCATTTCCCCACTAACTAGCTAAGAGACTGAACTTGGACAGGTAAACTCTGAGCTTCAGTGTTTTCTGCTTCATAAAATAAGATGATACAGTTGTGAGAATTAAAGTAATATGTACTTAACACAGTCCCTGGTAAATATTCATTAAAGGTAACATCTATTGTTGTTATTAATAACTATTAATAGTTTTTTTAATTGTTTCAGGTGTACAGAACAATGCAATAGTTATCCTTTTCACCCTTCACACAGAAGCAACTCCCCTCCCCCATCTACTGCCCTCCCACCCCTGATATCATACTTATCTATTACAATTCCATTGACTCCAT